GTGTAATGTCTCAATCAATTCCATGGGTGCCCAACACCCCCCCGGGCGTTTGTCGGGCATTCTCAACTGTACTTGTTCCCAGGGTCGGGCATTTGCTTTCTGCAGGTTAGCCCCGGGGTGGGGAATTTGCTCGAGGCTAAAAAGTCGAATATTTATCCCTTGTTTCGCCATTTAGCCGTACTTTAGTACGCATGTTTACACCAGCGTGCGTATCGCAAATTAATCATGGCGGAATAACACAAGACTTTTTTCTTGTCCATCCTGTTGATACATTGACTTACTTCTGCAGTTTGATATTGCTATATCAAGTTTTGAGACTTCAATATTTTAATTAAAAACGTTTTAAAACGAAATGCCTATAGAATCGATTTTAAATACAGATATATTGATACGTGATAGAGCTTGGATTCGATTTTTTGGATCAGAAATCCTCAGAAAACTTATATTTTGTCCCCCAAGGGTGGGGGCATTTGCGTCAATATAAGTCCCCAAGGGTGCGGATTTTGTTGCATTATTTGGACCCCATACTGGGGCATTTGCAACGTTTTTTCGCCAAAATGACAAAAGCCCGACAAACGCCCGGGGGGGTGTTGGGCACCCATGGAATTGATTGAGACATAACGTCTAGGTGTTTTTGTTATTTTTAAAGAGTTCTCATATTCTTGTCTATCTTCTGGGGATAACTCTGCAAGTTTTTCCGGCTTCATTGGAATATATTTCGGTCTATCGCTCAATATAAAACGTTCATAATCCTCTCTTGCTTCCGGAGTCATTCGCGCTACGTCACGTTCGGTCCAATCTGCTGGGTCTTTTATTTGTCCATTTTTGGTGTGAACTCCAATCCGCTCGCCTTGCTGTTAGACGTACCATACGAACATAGCTCGCAGAAACCAATGACATGCGAAAACAATAGAGGTGACTGTTCATCACATGTCATACATTGAGCGTCTTTGCCCCAGTAGAAATCTTTCCACAAACATCTTGGGCACTTCATTAAGTATGCAATGTGACCAGTTTCTTCTCCACAATGGTTACAAGCTAGTTTCTCGGGCTCACTATCATCCTCATTATCATCATCCTCATTATCATCATATTCGCTTTCATTATCACTCTTGTCAGATTCCCTGTTCTCTTCACCAGATTCGCTTTCAACATCACTCTCAGATTGTGGCATTTCATGTTCCTCCTTTGCCATTTTTGACAATAAATACTCGTTTTTAATCAAATCTTTATTAACCCCTGCTTCTACTAGACCTTTTGTAAACAGGTCGAGCCCTCGTGGTTCAGGAATGTGAGAGTTGTATGGTAAAAGTGCGTATTGTAAAAAGTTCTCGATGTTAGTACCAGGAATGTCTCTTCCATGATAAACAATTTCACCCTGAGGATTCCAAGTTAAAATATCACTTGATATAAGAATAGAATGTAGCATTTTTTCTGCTGTAGTTTTTTTGACATTATTGTTCAGATACAAAAGTATATCTTCAGTGCGCCAATGTCGCGGAGATGTTTTACTCTCGATGTTCATTGTTGAAATGATGTATAATTTGTAGTCACAGGGTTTTTATACAAGTTCAGCCAGGCTTTCCAAAATAGGACTTAGTAATAGTCCAAGGAAACCTTCACCATGTTGAATGAGTATCCGTTTTTTTCTTCTTCCACATTTTCCTCTATCTACCAACCTAAGCATTTCATGTCTGTAAGGTCTGAGTTTCTTCATTACATGCTTCGGCATTAAATATTTTCTTTTCATAACGTTTTCTACACAGAGACACAGGCAGTGTACTTGCCCGGCGGTGCTTGTTGTTGATCAGGCTCAGACGTGCCCAACAGTTCAAGAAATGGCTTGTGCCTTAGAAGATTGATCATTTCTGTTCGACGGTTTGGAAGCAAATGAGTAAAACACAACAATAAGGAAGCTTATATCGGAAGAGAGAAAGCAATTTAGACAAGACTCCGAGCCTAAGGAGCTCGGAGCTGACTCCGAGCCTAAGGAGCTGGCTCCGAGCCCAAGGAGCTGGCTCCGAGCCTATGGAGCTAGCTCCGAGCCCAAGGAGCGCGGCTCCGAGCCTTAGGAGCTGGCTCCGAACCTAATGAGCTGACTCCGAACCTAAGGAGCTGGCTCCAAGCCCAAGGAGCTCGGCTCCGAGCCTAAAGAGCTGGCTCCGAGCCTAAGGAGCTGGCTCCGAGCCTAAAGAGCTCGGCCCCGAGCCTAAAGAGCTTGGCTCCGAGCCTAAAGAGTTCGGCTCCGAGCCTAAGGAGCAGGCCCCGAGCCTAAGGAGCAGGCTCCGAGCCTAAACAGCTGACTATGAGCCTAAGGAGCTGACTCCGAGCCTAAGGAGCTGACTCCGAACCAAAGGAGCTGGCTCCAAGCCCAAGGAGCTCGGCTCCGAGCCCAAGGAGCTCGGCTCCGAGCCTAAAGAGCCAGCTGGCTCCGAGTCTAATGAGCTGGCTCCGAACCTAAGGAGCTCCGAGCCTAAGGAGCTTGGATCCGAGACTAGGGAGTTGGCTACGAGATACTAGTTATATAAACTCGGTTTCTATTTGAGAGATTTATTATCGAACTATTCGTCATAGAGTAAACATGTCTCATTCATGTCATATCTGTGGGAAATATTTCTCTAAACCGTTCAATTTAAATCGACACAAACAAAAAGTGCATGATCAAAAACCAATCGACAACATTCGCATGACGACTAATGGATCTGCAGTTTTGCAACACCCATTTACGTGCATCGTAGCTGGGTGTACCCAAAGCGGCAAAACTGTATGGGTAAAATCTCTCTTGGAGAATGCACAGAAAACTATAAGTCCTGCTCCTCAACGTATCATTTGGTGTTATGGTCAATGGCAACCCTCCTATTTTGATATGATGAGAACGATGCCTGGAATCGAGTTTAATCAAGGCATCCCCGACGATATCGACAATGCAGATTACTTGGACGTATCGCAACGGAATTTGATCGTATTGGACGACCTTATGGTTCAATCTGGCAAAGATAAACGTATTTCCGATATTTTTACGAAAGGAAGTCATCATCGGAATTTATCTATCATCTATATTGTTCAAAATAAATTTCATCAAGGCAAAGAAATGAGAAATATCAGCCTAAACGCCCATTACATCGTGTTGTTCAAGTCACCAAGAGATAAACAACAAATTTCTATGCTTGCAAGGCAAATAAATCCCGGAAAAGTACAAGAATTTATGAGGAGTTATGAAGATGCTACGAGCCGAGCTCACGGGTATTTGATGTTGGATTTAAAGCCAACAACAGATGATCAACAACGACTCAAGACCAACATACTTCCCGGTGAGATTGAAAAGTTTATACAAAAACAGTCGTATCGACAACCACCACTTGGAAATGCCATGTATGATGCCGAGCAGCGAATGAAAGAAATCATGGATGCACCACAGCTTAGCGCAGTGGAAAAAAGCAAATTATATTCGGATCAACTAAATCGGTTTCTCACATTCAAAAATAAGATGGACGTCCAAGCTCAAGCTCCTGTTCAGACAACTCCACTAGTGCCTGCAGAAATACCACCACCCAATGAATTTGCTGAGATAGTACCACCAGTGCCTGCTACGCCTAAACCTAATTTCCTTACACCACCACCAACAGAAGAGGAACGGCCAAAACTCAAGCGCAATTTTTTTCACAATTGGGTCGACCCAGCAGATTGGACCGAACGTGACCTAGCGCGAATGACTCCGGAAGCAAGAGAGGATTATGAACGTTTTATATTGAAGGATAGACCGAAATATATTCCAATGAAGCCGGAAAAACTTGCAAAGTTATAGACAAGAATATGAGAACTCTTTAAAAATAACAAAAACACCTAGACGTTACGCTCTTAGAAGTAGACCTTACTAAATTTTGTAAAACATTTTGAAGAAGTAAAGTGTTTAAAAACTGAAATATTGTGTAATTTTTTGTCGGCAAAGCCCGCTCTTTCCGCCCGCGCGAAAAGATCCGTGTACAAATATGTTGTACTTTAATATATGCATGTACCCGCAAAGCCACGCGCCTGATTTTAAGGTATACACCAGCGTTAAAAATTAATCCCTATCTATCCATCGGGATACACTTAGTTATGCAAATTCGTATTACCTTAATCCCATTCATTACCTACACGCCTCCTAATGACTTAGCAACACATAAACAACGCAAATTTGCAAAGCTTAAAACATGTTTATTGATACAAATAACAGACGATAGTGTCAAAAATATTACAACTAAAACTATTTGTTAAACTGTTCTATAAGTTTTTTCTCCACGAGTTCTTGATAAGCTTTCTTATGATCTGCCTCAAAACTTCTAAATCGTTCACCCGTCGCCTTCACATAATACATGTAACTCGGTGGGTAAGAGAAAAACGCTTCAGCTACGGACTCGAGTGGGTCTTCTAATCTCCAATGAAACAAATAGTTCAGTATACATTGTAGTTCGTGGTTCTCAGTGTTCTGATGTAGTTCCATCAATGAATCGACAAACGTAGAATCTGGATCTTTTTCCAGTTGCTGTAAATGTTCGAGTACATCTCTATCAACCGCCAGTTGTAGTACCCTCATTGCCTCAGCGAATTCATTCCAAACCATACGCTTACCATTCACTCGTTCGATCGCTTGTAAACCATACATTTGCCATCGTTCGTTTTCGTTCACCATGAGGCAGTCATGTTGTCTTTGACTAGGATGACCGACTTGACAACCATTACAGGATTCCACACAAAGTCTTTCAACTTCTTGTGCGACTGCATTCGCAAATATTCCTTCCAATAAATTGTAAGATGTGGTTTTACCGTGTAGACACGTCATGACTGATGTGGAACAAATATAGACGATGCTTATTACAAGACGCTTGTCGATTTTATACAGACGCTTGTATAAAAGTTCATAGTAAGCCAACATTAATCCCTCAATTGTATCATACACGTGGGAGACGCTACAAAATGCGTAGTCAGCAAGTTTCGCCCGATTGTGTTTAAGTTCGCCCGCGTGACGTCATTGCATATAATTATGACGTATGTTAATGAGTGACGTCATTACGCATCCTCCCTCCACCACACTCCACCACACTCCACCACAAAAATCCGGGTCGAACGGTACCTATATTACTACTTCAACCACTTAAAGAATGTCTGTCAGTCAGCATTATGTACAGATATTGAGACAAATCCTGGACCTTTATTTTATATTGACCCAGCAAGACAATAAGTGCACCGTATAGCCAAGGTAATCAGATTATATTTCGGGAAACAGCAAGACAACAGTGTTTAGCAATGTGTTTATGTGCTCTTGTATACAACAAAAGACAGAACATATGCTCACCACAAGACCTGGTTAATGTAATGAATAGTGGTAATGAACTATATTCAAACTTATCATGTTTAGCACGGCAGTCATTTCTATTGTTTACAGAATTTCCTTCACAACTTACAGTATTTCACACAGATTATATTTTTGAGTACAGTGAAAGCTATAGTGGCATTGTAATTGGAGACTGTTCTATTGGAGGGTTTCAGGACTGTGTTCCATTTCACAGATCATTTGAATTACTCCTGGCTGAAAACTATTCTGCATTCATTTTAACAATTAACTCCAATGCTGTTTGCATATTTTCCACCAATGATGGCAACTATAAAATTTTTTACTCTAATTCAAGAGATATTTATGGCAGAAGTCATCCACAAGGTACATGCGTGTTGTTGGAGGCACCGAATATCAACAATGTAATTCTGTATTTCCAGTCTTTATACAGTGAAAACAGTCAATTTGAGCTAAGAGGAATAAATATTGAAGAAGTACAAGCCAATGGTGACCAGAACTTAAACAACAGCATTAGAAAGTCTGCCCTATCAGGTAATGCCTCAGAAGAATCTAAAACTACTGATGTTTCTTGTTTATGTAGACAATGCTGTGCAATTTCATTATACTCAATTTGTTATTCTGTTATTAAACCTTGTAATTACCGGGATTCGAATACAGTGGCTGCAGTAGTTTACTTTGGCACTACTTTGTATAATAACACTGGCATAAATGCATCTAGTTATATACCTCAAAAAGTTGAAATATGTGGAACTGAAATACATGTAAAATCGCAAGCTAATATTCAAGGAGTAGTTTATGGCAAGGCAGAAAGCAAACTACGCATCGAAAGCCTTATTGTCATACTATTTGCCATCTGTTTCATTTGCCATCTGTTTCTAGTAACTCAGGAAAATTCTCATTAAAATTTTCTGGAATAAAAATCTGGAGTTCTCTTGATAATCAAGACAAATTACTATCTAGGAAATCTCTAATAAAAAGAATTAAAAAGAATTGCCTTGATACCTATTCCTAATATAAAATGTTTACTTACTATAATCAAATCAAATCAAACCTATTGTGTGTGATGTTAATGTACAGTATGTGTGTATATATGTGTTTATTATATTTCTATATACATTTCTAAATTTTTTTTTTTTTGTATTATTATTTGCCATATTTAATTCATTGTTGTATATAGTTCTTATGGGGAATTGGCACGAAAACTTTAGTTACTCTAATTCCCCAGCACCGTTCTCACTTTATTGTAATAATCTTGTTTTTTTTTTTTTTTTTTTTTTTCTCGAGTGCAAATAAAATTCTATTCTATTCTATTCTATTCTATAATGAAAACACAGGGTTTTTAATTTGGTTTGGAGATTATTGCAGTTCTTGCATCTTTCAAAAGACATCAATTAAGAACATGTCATACTCAATATTAGCATATGATGATGATGATAGCTCACCTACATGTACTGCACATTACATTAAAAACATAAACAACAAGCATACTTTAGTCGATGCTCTGTTTAACTTAGCAACCACCAAAATCAAGAATGAAATTGTCAATTATGAAATTCTATTTTTGTCTTGTTCTTCTGAATTGACTAACTGTGAAAGAAAAAGGATTATGAAAAACCACAGACAAAACTATACAAATAACTTCATTGAACCAGGTCTAAAGAAACAGAAGCTAGAAACAAAGCAAACGAAATACAAAACAATGGAGCGATTAGTGAAACAACAAGTTAACTCTAAACATGTAAATGATCACAAAATTATGGCTAAGGAGAAAAAAAATATTGCACAACAGAAAAACAAAATATGAAATGTTAGATAAATCAAAGAAACAGGAACTGCTTACGAAAAATATGAATCACATAAAAACAATGAATAAAGGACAAAAGCAAAAAATACTGGAGAATGAAAGAATAAAATATGAAGAAATGGATCAATCAAAGAAAGAGGAACTGCTTACTAAAAATATGAATTATAAGGAAACAATGAGTAAAGAACAAAAGCAAGGTTGTTATCCGGAAAAAATTTTTTCCTGGAAAATTTTGTTTAGATAGGGCCCCCTAAAAACATTTGCCCCGGGCCCCCGCCAACCTCTGGGCGGCCCTGTTCAAGTAAAATCATGTCGAATCGAATGTCATTGGATCCAAAACAAAAAAATAATTTACTGAATAGAGAGAAAGAAAAACGGATGGAAAGAAATCTCTAGCTCATGACATTGACATGTACATTGAAAAATTTAAAAACAAATTAAATCTGGACCATTTTAAATATGCTGCGTGTGTAACCGGACACTATATAAGAATTCAGTAGTAATCTTACAGAAAAATAAGTACCCTCGCCAGGATTGTTTTATGCTTCAGTATTCTTTTGATAACAAAAACTACATCTGCAAAACATGCCATGCTAAATTACTTAAAAGTCATCAGCCTTGTCAAGCTGTCGTAAACAATTTATTTGTTGATGAAACCCCTACTGAACTTGCTGCATTAGAGAAACTTGAACAAATTCTTATTGCACAGAGAATAGTCTTCGAAAAAATTGTAATAATGCCGAAAGGACAACAAAGAAAAATTAAAGGTGCAATATGTAATGTTGGTGTTGAATGTAGTCAAACATGTAATATTCTTCCCTGACTACCTGACAGTTCTGGGATAATTTTACTTAAATTGAAAAGGAAACTTCAATTTAGAGGTCACGTTTATTTTCAAGCAGTTCGCCCTCAGTTTGTAATTAATGCATTAAACTGGCTTATAGCAAACAATCCGTTATATAGAAACATTGAAATTCAATGTGACAACATCAGCCCAGAGTTGACTAATTTGAACTATCCTGTTACAAATCAAGAAAATGTAGACGAGCATTTGCAAACTAATATAAATAGAGAACTTCTTAATGAAGATACTGAAGAACAAGATGATCCATTAAATGAACACCGTTCAGCTGCAACTGAAACCTGTCTTCAGTCCATCTTGCCAGATTATGCTGTAAACGTGGACAATAGAAACTGTGATAATTCAACAGGTAGAGAAATTTTCAACATTGCACCAGGTGAAGGTAAACACCCAGTATCATTGATGACTGATAAACTTTGTGAGGATCGGAACTTTCATTTCCAGTACTCTTTCCAAAAGGACGATTTGGGTATAACGTTGAACGAGACATAAAATTATCTCCAATAAAATCTTTCAATGCTCGCCTCTTGCATTATAGTGGGAAATTTCCAACCAATCCAGAGTATCTATTCTTTGCACAATTCATTATGGAACAGAAAAAGATCTCTGATAGTATAAATATAGCTCTTAAAAAAATACATGGGCAGTTAGTCACAGCATCACAAGTAAAATCAAACAGTCAAGATTTTCAAAATCTTCTTTTGCAAGATGAAGCATATCTGTTTTTACAACAAATTCCTGGCTCACCTCCTTACTGGCAAAAATTCATGTATGAAGTGGTGGCAATGGTTAAACAACTGGGAATACCAACATGGTTTATGACGCTTTCATGTGCAGACTTAAGATGACTTCAGATAATTGCAAAAACGAAAGGAACCAACATGAGAGATGAAGAAGTGGATGCCCTGTCCTATCATGAGCGATGCTCAATGTTAAATTTAAATCCAGTTATGGTAGCTAAACATTTCCAGTATCGAGTCGAAACATTGTTCGAGAGAGAGATGATTTGTCGAGAGATCTTTTGCTTACAAATGCAAATCCAATTGGCAATATAGTATATTATGCACTCCGTATTGAATTTCAAATGAGAGGTTCACCACAATTGCATGCCTTAATATGGACAACTGATTGTCCAGAGTTAGCGAATGATACAAAAGACGCATACATAGATTACATTGACCAACATGTGCAAGCATACCTCCCAGACAAAGAAACAGATCCTCAACTTTTTGACTTGGTGAAAACATACCAGACACATGATCACAGTAAAACCTGTAGAAAGTATAAGAACGTTTCATGTAGATTTAATTTTGGACAGTTTTTTACTGACAAAACAATTGTTGCTGAACCTTTGGCAGAAGATATGGATGAGGAGATTAAATCCAATATTCTGACCAGACGAAAGGAAATTTTGTCTAACGTTAAACAAAAAATTGATGTTGTGCTAAACCCAAGCAAACCTACTTATGATCCATTTGCAACTCCAACTGACATCCTAAATGATATAGATATTACAGAGCAAGACTATCAATGGGCTATATCATTATCTCCAGACTCTGACTATGAATTGCACCTCAAAAGACCAATAAACAGTTGTTTTATCAACAATTACTTTATTGCCGGGTTAAAAGGATTTGCCGCAAATGTCGACTTGCAACCAGTGTTTAAAAATCATTATAAGTGTATCACATACGTTTGTTCTTACTTTATAAAGGATGAAACTGAATGTTCTCAAGCCATCATAAATGCAGCAAAAGAGGCTAAAGAAGCCAACGTAAATGTCAGAGATGGCTTAAGTCAAATAGGTGCAGCTTTTCTCTCGACTCGTGAAGTCAGTGCTCAAGAATGCGTTTACAGGTGTATGCCAGAACTCTGGTTAAGAAAAATATTCCCGAAAACTCTCTTTGTTAGCACGGATTTTGCTGAAAATCGGGTTAGATTTGCGAAGAAACAACAAGAACTTGATGAGTTAGATGATGATAGTACTGACATTTTTAAGTCTAACATTATTGTCCGTTACAGTGACAGACCGAAAAACATTCCTGTCATTAAAGATATGTGCTTAGCTTTATTTGCTGCTCACTATTTCAAAGATTACAAAAGTGATTTTAACGAAGTATCTGATTCTCAACCTGAAGTGTTAAACGATGACTTTATGGAATCTCAAAATATCGAAAATCATAACACTGGACATCCCGATCGAATAAAACTTGTAAACAGCAAAGAAATTATGAAGTGCCGAAGAATTAAAGCTCATTCGATATCACACTCCAAACGAAAGAAAAGAGCTTGAAAAATATTTTCACCACCTTCTCATGTTGTATTTTCCGTGGCGTAATGATCAGAAACTCTTTGGCGAAGACCAGACATACATATCTAAGTTTTATGAGCCAGATGTTCAAGAAGTAGTAAAACGCAACAAAGAAATATTTGAGCCAGATGGTGATGCTATTAACAGAGCACTAGAAACTTTACGAAAGGATGGTGTACCAACTCACTCCTATAATCCAATTAATGACCAGGAAAATGAAGATTTGCGACAAAGTTTACCTGACGATTCTGATGAAACCGAGTCTTTTAACGAGTCGTTGCCACAAAATCTTGCATCAAATCCTGAATCAGTTCAACCATCTTCTGGAATAAGTTCTTATAATCAACCCATCAGTGACGACAATCTACGAAAAACTGTAAGATCATTGAACAACAAACAACGTTATGCATATGACGTAGTTCTTTCCTGGTGTAGAAATAAAATGGCAAACCTAAACACCATTAAACCTTCTCAAGTTGATCCAATACATATTTTTGTTAGTGGAGGTGCAGGGAAATCACACGTAATTAAAGCTATATATCATACTGTTACAAAAACATTTAGACATGCTCCAATGAATCCTGAATTACTTTCTGTATTGCTAATGGCTCCAACTGGTGTATCTGCCATAAATATCAACGGAACAACTGTAAACACTGCTCTAGCAATTCCAAGAGAATGTGGGAATAATGTACCTGCAATGTCTGACCAGAGAAGAACACAAATGAGATTGTCTTTGGCTGAATTGAAACTAATCATCCCCGAGCCGGCGGCGCGAAGCGCCGTGCGAGGGTACTAATTCCCCCCGGCTATTTACACCCGGGGAAACGAAAGCATTAGCGGAGTCTAAAGTTCATCAATGAGCGCGGGCGTCGGTCACCAACGATGGGTGGTCATCATCACTGATCTCAAAAATATGGCGGACTGTCATGAATAACGGACACTGATTGGTCCAATTTAAAGTTTGCATTATAACGACTGCATGACGACAGCGAAATAGCAAATATTTCTTGATTTGATGAGTTGATGATTGATAAATTTCTTGCAAATATTCTTCATTTTTGCTCGTATTTCTGCAAGATTTTGTAAATTTCAAGAAAGAAAGGGCGAAAGAATCAGCTAAAAGAAGGGAGCCGACGTTAACGAACGTATGTTTGTTTTAAATATTGATTTTATAATGGCTTTAAAACCCGACGGCCTTTGCGTATATGAAACAACTAAACAAGACAGCATATAATTTCAGTGTATCTTTAATATTGATTCCCTTTTTATTATATTGAATTTTTTAAATAAAAATAAAGCAAAGTTATTTGCAAGCGAGAATTTGAAATCATTTTATTGCAAACTCAA